CCAAGCTGAAACATCAGGAAAGATCCCATTAGAAGTTTTTCTGAAATCATCTCAAGTATTATAATTTCTAAAATCCTAATGATCACAAACACAACTGTTATATACAGAGTACATAACAAATGGTAAGGGTATCCTTTGCACATTAGATGGCCTTGTGCCTGGTGACTTTAGCCTGACAAATTATGCCAGAGCATAATCCACAGTGTTAAAAAGTTAATGATTGATGCAAGTCATACTTCCTTGTTTCAAATAAGTTTTAACAGTAAAACATTGAAAATACATGAAATGTACAGGATTACATATTTATTGCAAAGCCTATTTGACATGCATATAGGATTTTCATTTTAGGGAATTATTAACAGCACCTTGGGAAAACTAAAAAATGGAAAAAATTCCAAATTTGGAGGACAGTAGGGGAGCTAAAGCCACCTTGTACATATTCAACAAGACAAGTATGAATGTGACATAAAATTTGGTCCCTCTCCTATCTCGCATAGCAATGTAAAATTTACTGCTCTTATTTATTTACTTATTTACTTATTATTATTTTGTATTTTACACTAGTACACTACATCCTTGCCTACATGGATGGATTCAAAGCAAAAGTAAACTCTATTCTTAGCATGATACAGTGTCCAAGCAGGTAAACTCCAAATCCATTTGCTACAATACTTGGACAAGTCAAACCCAAAAGTAGATAGATAAATGCTACATATTGAAACAAAAGTTGGAAGGTAAATTTTCCGATACACAGTAAATCTGACCCCCTGCTTCCCAAAATGCAGCCCTTTGCAAAGATTTATAACAGCAAAAGTGAGCACAGAGCTATATGGTGATATCTAAGTGTCAAGAATCCTATAAAATATGACAATAGAATGACAAGTTGAAGAGCAAATTTTCTGCAAAACTATAAATTATTAGCCAGTAAGGAACAGAAGATTTCAATTAGATCTTAAATCCATTATTGTCTAATTGTCTTAATACTTAGTTTGATCCTTCAGAACTAATAATATCAATTATTACCTTCAAATTTAACTCCTTCAAGATGTTAGATGCAGAGAAGGCTTGTCGCAGACCAACCCCATATAGATCAAAAACCTGCATATGTATACAGAATTTTGGTTAAAAAATCAAGCAGTGATGTGAAACGCAACCAGGACATTTGAACCCGACAGGATACTTTGCATCAAAAAATAAACTAAAGCACTTTCTGCTTTTATACTTAAACACATTGTTTGAAAAGCATGTCTAGGTGCTGTTTGAACAATTCATTTTCATTTCAACTGGACCAAAAGATGACAGTGATAAATATATAACCACAATATGCCTAATGCCTGTAAGAAACAAAATAGAGAAATAAGGAGAACATAATAGATCAGCTGAGTGTAGTGTATTGGTGTAGACAATTACAATGAATGGGATATGAGAACAGATCCTGTAAAAAGGCCCCTCAGCGTTCTCCAACCATTACATCATGCGTATACACAGATTGCAGGTAAGTTTACATCATTAAGCACTAGAGGGAAGACTTCATAGTTCATAGTGGTAGTTTCACATGAGTTGCAGGATAATGAATTCAAAGAGGATAGCAAATACTATGACTTAAATGGTTTGTACATATATTTTGGTCTCCTAGATTTATGATGGTAGCTAGGAGAATAGTAGTAACTATGACTTTATAATTGGTACTTCAAATTTTGGTTATGCTTGTTTTATGATGGCAGCTAGGAGGTTAGTCTCAATGTTAGGGTATGGTGTGTAAGAGACAAATTCTCACTAAGCAATTAGTTCACAAAGAAGCTCGACAAAAACTACAACCTAACTCATAAGTGAAAAGCCACAGCCTCGAACACTGGCTTTTTTATGTTCCAGGAAAACTTTGTCAGTGCAGGCCAATTGCTAATAGTATGAAAGATGTCCTTAACAGCAAGTTACTGAAAAAGTGTCAAGTGCAAGAGACTGGACACTTACAGGTATAGGTATTCTTCTGTCATGAAAAGCAACCTCCGATGCAAGGAAGACATCCCCAATGGCTGCTCCTTTTGCCTGAAAGAATAAGAAATAAGGGTTTGATCTTCAAGAAGTAATGAATAATATATCAGTTGCTCCTTTTTTCACATAGTGTAATGCACAGAATAGAATTATTAATCAATAAAGTTATACCAGTCAAGAGATGCAGTTTTAGAACACAAATATTTTCAAATTAGTTGTTAGAGGGAAAATACTAATTTCTCAATAAACATAAATCCTAAGCATAAAATCCCCACTTTAAAGAAGAGTTAGGCCTTCATATATATAAGTTTGACAGCAATGTTGAGTATGTTCATAGCAGTTAGGAAGCAGTGAAATACTGAGTAACATAATCCCAAGTCTTCGCATGCAGTGAGTTTATTCTAAAGAAAATCACAATGTACCTTGAAACCACCAGCAGTTCCTGCATTTATGATAAGGTCTGGCTTCAATGCCTGAATAGTTGCATAGGTCACAAGCGACGCAGAGACTGTACCAACACTATCAACACCTAGAATGTAAAAGTTCGTGAATAGCAAAAGGTCAGCATTCCCTACTCAGCAGGAACAATGTACATAGTCATCAAACTATAGGAAATAAATTTAAAAATACCATGATAGAAATGAAGGAACATCTACATATGCTGATGAACCCATAATGCTAAGAAAGAAGTATCATAACCACATCCAAGTCAAGCCAGGTATGAATATTATCTATAACTACTAAAGGTGGGCAACACCTAAAGACCAAATGTTCAGAGTTAATTATTTTAAATTTTTCTCTGGTGACTTTGCTTAGTTTTTTTTAAAAAAAAAATGAGCAACAAATAACCAAAAAGATAACAAAGCTAAAAGACAGATTTACAAATGTAATTAAATCTGACTTTTTGTGGTTAAGTCTCCCTAATATTAGTAAAGAAGATATTATTATAGTGCTAAAGATATGATTATACGTAGTATATAAAGTAATAAGAACAGTAATACACTAATAATACAGAATAAGAGTCCTCTAGTAAGACACCCCACCCCCCAAAAAAAAAAAAAAATCCTTAAAGAGACCACCAGAATACTGTGAAACGGATACATTCATAGCTACATACGAGTAATAATCTAGACCGTGTGATACAAATGTAAATCTCAATTAGTCTTCATTCGGTAATTAGATGAAATGAATAGCCTATTATCAAATGAGTAACATATCAGCTATAACACAGATGCCCAATAAATCTTCGTTTCCTTCAACCTTTTCTACCACCAGAGTAATTATATGTACAACACAAGATATATACGTAGTAACTCATATGAAATCATCAAACCTCTTTAGTTTCTCTAAGCAACTTCTTGAATTAGTGATCACGAACAAAAATACAGATAACATAATATAAAGCCTGGGAAACATGAACATCAAAAAAATCTTCAATCAAGAAAGATAGCTCTCACCTAGGGCAGGATCTTTTCCAGGTTGCACGATGTTAATATGCAAATTCTTGTACATTCCATGATAGCGCACCCAAGGAACTCCTTTCGGAAACCTACAATTTTATTTTAAATTTTTTCTGGAATTATCAGCAAAATGACCAAAAATTGGCAAACAGTACAACAAATTCAGGAGCAAATCAAATTAAAATTACGCAAAAACAGCAATTCATTACGAACAATTAAGCAAATCAAAATCGTAATCGAAAACATAAATGAATTGAAGCGAGATAAATGAGGCGAAAAAACTAACAAAGAATCGTGTTCTTCTTAATTTTTATGGAATTATCAGCAAAATGACCAAAACAAATGCAAACAATACAACAATTTCAGAATCAAATCAGATTACAATTCCGAAAAATCAGCGATAAATTACGTACAATTAAGCAAATCGAAATCGAAAACACAAATGAATTGAAGAGAGATAAAAAGAGGCGAAAAAACTAACAAAGAATCGTGTTCTTCTTTGAGTTGAAACCGCATAACCAGAGGCATAGCTTCGGTATGCATAGCTAAAGAAACCACCAAAATTCAACAGTCAGAATTTCAATCAATCGCAAAATATATGAAGCTGGAAATGCAAAATTGAAGACGAAGACGAAGAAGAAAGAGGATATTACCGATGAAGATAACAATGGTTGAAATAGGTTTTTTCTGAGCTTCGGAATCTATGGCGGCGTCAATTGGTTGATCATCTTGTGGCGCCATTGACGTCTGTCGGAGGTTTTCTCTGATTGCCCAAAGAGGAAAGAGAGAGAGGAAAAAGTAAGCGTCTACTCAAAATTTCTAGTTCTGAAAAGAAGGAAAGCGGACTAAATATTCCGAAAAATAATGTGTGTCTGTGCGTCTAGTCCGTTAACTTGAATCGGGTTAATTTCGAATTAAAAGGTTGATTTGTAGACAACTAATAACACTCCTATTTTTATCTTCTTTGCATTTTAAAAAGGTTATGATAATTAAATCGGTGCAATTGGCCAACAAATCAGTTTCGGCTCGGTTTAAATTATTATCGATTTGGTTTTGATTTATTTTTGTACGGTTTTAATTCGGTTTGGCTAGTAAATGGTTTGACTTATAAACAATTTAGATTGAAACTGGTCGATTTGGAATGGGTTTACCTGGATTCAAATGGGTTTGGATTCATATCAATTTGGATTATAGACGGTTTTGACAATAAACAATTCGGATTATAATATAATTAAATTGATTTGAAACAGACTGATTTGCGGGAGAGGGTTTACTTAGCTAGGTTAATGCGGGTTGGGCTTCAAATTAAATCAATTTGGGTCGTAAACGGTCCAGGTTGGTTTGTAAATGGGTTTATGAAAAAGTACACTTAGATTATTTGTACACACAAATTTTTAAAATAAATAAATAAAACATGTACTAGTAATCAAGTACATACTCTAATTATTGATGATAATGCTTTTATATTTTTTCAACCAATTCAGGTAAAGTACACTAATTTCTTTTTACCTAAAGGAAAATAATACAAGCGCTATAATACGAAAAGAAATATTATAAAGATACAAGGCGTAAATGATGTTTCCGAGACCTGTGAGGTCCAGCAAATGATATGACCATCATATGTATTTCTTTTTCTTTTTTTTTAAACCAAGTTAACGGAGTCTTATATTGATAAATTATCCATCAAAACATACGCAGTAACCTCACAAGAAATTTGGTTCTCCCAAATTTGTTCACAACCAAAAGCGAGCTAAATTATGGGCAACAACGTTCCCACTACCAATATTTAACATATACGTAGTACATGTTTTCATCATAAAGATACAATGCGCAAATGATGAAACCGAGCGAGGCTCACACGGTGCAGTAAATGATATGACCGTCAACCGGTCTATTTCTAAATTACAGCATTTTACGTGCACCATATTGTGATTTTTAATACTACGTTGGGCAAGCGAATTGAAGGAACTCAGAATTCGACTGCAAACATTCCATCTCTTTTTCATCCAATGTCAATGAGACTTCAATTCCTTGATTCGAATTCATGATAAATAATATTTGATTCTTAAGAACACCACTATGCCCACTCCAAACGGACTTCCCCAAGAATCCGAAATCAGGATAATCCAAACCAACCTTACTCCAACTAGTACACCTATATACGTTTATATTAGCATCATCCTTGCTATAGTCTGCTAGCTTTTGCTTGTTTTCACGTATTTTTTCGCTCCCCTTTTCTCCCTTTAACTTGTTTAAGAATTCGACATCCTTAGCCGAGGCCAAGGCTCTTGAAATTTCGCTAATCAAGTCCGATAGCTCAGGCACTGATGATATCTTAGCTTCGTTGTCCTCGTCCTGCCCTTTGTATTAAGCGAAGGCATGGATGACCATGTTTCCAAAGGTAGTTGGTGGTAGTTCTGGACGAATCCAAGGCCGTATGTTTACAGCGTGTGTCATAACTGACGGTCCTGCTTATCATCAATGATATATGTAATTACAAATATTAATGATGAAATTTGTACAATAACATGTGTGTCAGTCAATTTATTACGATTATTAGGAAACGAAGAGAGTATTGTTTTTTCTTTAATTTTTTTTTTTAAAAAATGCATTGTTTTTCCCCTCCGCTCTAGACTCATGATCCTCACATTTTATTTTAAAAACTCATGACCCTCATATTATTAATAAAATTGTAGCCATTATAAAAACGAAATCTACAATGTTGATTATAATATGTAAATAAGGCCAATTGATTTAAGTTTTCAATAACTATTTTTCCTTATTCCTCTAAAAACGAAACTATTACGACAACTTCCAATCTTCCATTAATGATTTTTTGCAATGTATGATTAACCAACGCAATCCACTTGAAAGATTACGCACCATTGTCAACTAAAAGGAAGATATTGCAAATTTTGCAATTGAAGAACTTTCCGACACTTAATGTTTTCCGACGAATTTGCATTTATCATTGAACATTGACATTGCTATCGAAAATGAGCATCACATACCTAATTCATGAGATTTATGGGGAAAATTTGATAGAAGTGTGGGGTGTTGTTGAGAGAAGAGAGAATCACTTATAAAAAGAAATTTATCAATTAGTGCAAGAGTAAAATTGATCCTATCTAATTATCCATGTGCTTCGTATTAACTTATCCAATGTCGTATAAGATCTATTGCTTTTTGGCACTTTTCCATTGATTTTTGCTATACTTTAATCCTATCCATGTTGATTGTTCATTAATGGAGATTAGGTTGAAGGTTGAATTATTAGAAGTTCATCAATAACAGTGACAACTGATAATTTTTTTAATGGATACAATTAATGGTTAATATTTAAACAATTGGGATTAAATTTAGTTACAGTGGCTACATTAAAAATGTGTCATTGAATAGTCTTTCTAAAAATTGTATTAAATTGTAAATAGAATCCCCTTACTAGTAAGGGGAAATTAGGGATCCCACTTGTTTAGGGTGAGAAACGAATGAATGGATGGTAAAAGTTGTCCCCAAATCTATTCTATGTGACTCCGTCACTAGTTTAATAAATAAATGGATAAGATTTTCTCTATAAATAAAGGGTTAAGATTAAAAAAATTAAAAAAAAAAAAGTTATAGGATGACCCATAAGTTTAATGTAGCAATTAAATAATCTTTGGTTATATTAGTATTAAGTATATATAATAAAATAAATATTCCAAAGTTGCACTTAACACTTAGCAGATGTAGTAGAATAAAACCTCGTAGCAAATTAAACTCACCAATAGATGGCGCATTTTTGGATTTGGCCGCAGCAACCATGGCATGCTTCCATATGAACCCGAACACAGCTTCAAGGCGGGTAGGCTTGAGTAGGCGGTCACTACTCCTTGCATTAGCCTGGAGAGTTAATACACATTGAGGGCTAAAGCGGAACACCTTAACAACGCAGCCGGTAGGCAATTTGTTTCCATCCAATTTCGAAAATGGTAGAGGTGCCCTAGGTGGCACTAATGCTGCCCATGGACGGGGAGGAAACAAGATGGCGGCCGTGGTGAAGTCGGGCTTATTATTATTGTCTACTTGATCTCCTCCTCTTGCAAAGTCGGACCAACATTTCACGAAACTACCACCTGATGTCCCATCCATGATCTTGTGTATTCCCTTTTTCCCAATCATTACCCCGCCGCATGTGAAGATTGTTACTTGTGTCGCTACCAGAACTAATTCTTCTGCTTTCAACATCCTGTATTATAAAAGGTAATCATTAATCAGGAGTAGAGGTGGTTATTGGGCAGGGTAGCCCAATCAGGGCCAAGCTTATAGGACTTTTAATGGACAAGACTATTAATGGACAGGGTCAATATAGGACCAACATGTTTTTCCAATTTAGTTGATAAAGAAAATACATAATATAAAAATAATTATATAGATTAATTTGTATTCATATGCACTTAATAATGGCTTTGTCCAATATTTATTTTAATTAATATTTTATAGGCTCGCCCATTATCAACCCGCGACCCGTATTGTCCCAACCCTATATTGACCCTATAAAATGTGACCCTCTTTGACCTTGACCCGACCCGCCCAATAACCAGGTCTAGGCAGGAGTGAGAATCGATCCCAGGATCTCTTGGAATATGAAGGAAGCTCTAACCACTTGAGCTATATATCCCTCACTCTCAAAGAATATGTTTTATGGTTGATGAGAAAAGTTATATATACTAACCTATTGGTACTTTGCTCCGTAAGTTCTCCGACAAGTGGGATGTTGCTGCTGGGTACAAAACGCCAAGCCTCATAGTGAATTGGATTAAGGAGAAAAGACGAGAGTGGGCAATCGCATCAAGCTTCAACGAAGAGTATGCCTTGGTCGTTGCAATCGATGGAAGATTCGTCAGGAGCGAGCCTACCAGCGAGAGGGTAGAATAGAGATAACGCTTTGGATAGAGACTGCTTTAGCCTAGCAACAGTGATGGTGCTATGATCCTCGGTAGGAGTAGGAGCATAACATGTTATGGAAATAACGTACTTTAATGGGTTAAGTTGGTCCATGAGAGACAATTTATGGCATTTGAGATGAGGTGGTGTAGGAGTTGCTGGCTTTATTATTTCCCTTGACAATATTTCCACCGGCAACTCCATTTTCGACTTCTTTCTTTGTTTGGGGTATCAGCATATCTGCAAATATAATTATATTTTTAGCGATAGATGAATGCAGCTGATTTTGTACGGTCCTTCATTACCTCCGCCTCTAAATATATGTAGCCCTTAAGGCTATGTATAATATTTTTCTAAAAAAAAAAATACAAGCAAGGTTAAAGAGAGATAAATAATTAAATATTAATGGTTTTATACGTATTAAATAAGAAAATGTTGCAATTATATATTAAGAAATGAATGATAAAGAAAGTGTTGTAACTAAGGAAGTAAAATCATGATAAAAAGATAAATACAGCTTGGGAAATTAAACTGTTGGTGGTAAGATATGTTCGTCTACATAACCAAGAACATTGTTGATTATTGGGAAACTGTGGGATCGGGGCATTAAAATGCCAATCACTTAATCATATACTTCATTTGTTTATTTTTAGTTGACACAATTCTTTAATTACGTTTCTCAATGCACAACTTCAACCATTCATATCTTTAATTATCAATAAACAAAAATTATGAAAAATTGATATTTTGAAAATATATATTGTGACAAATTTAATAAGATCACACATGACTATATTTTTCGTTACATATAAAACACAAAACATCTCGAAAAATGTGTGAATAGAACTAACGTCAAAACGCATCAATTAAAAAAAAATGGAGGTAGTACTGTAATACTCTGTACTATGTTTGCGTATAGGTCAAAATAATACGCGACATAGAATATAAATAATGAGAGAAAAGTGGTTTGATTTATACGAAAAGAACAAACATGCCTGCAATGGCTGCAATTAACCAGTCCAAACACTGATGAATTCCTGATTTAACCATTTACGGTTAATAATGGATATCCAACTCAGCCGTTGGATAATGATAATAAACTCCACGTTATTTTTAGTTACTAGGTACATAGAGTGGCCCCGTGAGCATTAGCATTGTCGAGTTAACCATGTGGATTGTGGATGCTGAGTATCCTAAAATACGGATTATTAGCATTAGCCTATACCTATTTCTTTCCGCTAAGGAATTTGATACTCCCTGACATCTAGGATGAATTGCAAAAAATATGAAACGGAGGTAGTACTAGTGTACGAAATGCATGCTCAACCTCATTCTTGTCCTTGGCTCGGAGGACAGGAATGCTGGAATGAGGTTGAAAATGGGATCGGCATGGCCATTCTTGAACTTCGGATTGCCTTTCCAGGCCAAATTCTTTGAATGTTTGAAAGAAAATCCTCAAGTACTGGATTAGAGGAGATGTATTAAAATTGCGCACTTAGGAAAACATAAAAGTACTATTAAGGCTTTCAATTAATAAAGTCCACTAAGCTAAAATTTTCCAATCATAAGATAATAGAAAGTCACAAGACATAATTTAAAAAACAAGCTTTTTTTAGCAACATTTTGTATTTTTGCGTGTGTAACCGCGCTTTTAGTTGTTTACTAGGTTAGTCCCGTGCGATGCACTGTTTTAGCAATAAATTAAAACTTCTGCTTTTATAAGCGCAATATAAATTAAATAATTTATAAAAAAAAAATAGTAAATAATGGTGTTTGATAAATTGAGCTAAAAAAATGATGTTAAATATTCTTATTAACCTCATAATTATAATAAAATATATGAAATGTTAGCATTATATCAACTTATTAATAAACTTAGTCATAAAGCTGTTAGGAAAATTTATAACTAACTTACCTTTTTCAAACATTAGCTTTTATATTGAAATGAAAAAAATAATGTCATTTAAATGTTTGGAGGGAAATTTTTTAATAAGCTGACGTATGACAGTAGAAATGTCAGCGGTAATTACGTTAGTATAATTATAGATTTGATATGCAACTTGTATTTTTTTTTTAAAAAAAAAGAAAAAGAATTGATGACTTCATACAACAAAGTGGCGGGAAATTTTTTAAAGTGTAAGCGACGCATAGGATAGGGAGGAGGGTGTATGATGAAAACTTTTTAATGTGTTGAGAGAATTAATGAACGTCCCTGGGGCGTTGGATAAACATTTAAAATCTTACCTAAAGTGATATTAATTTGGGAAATCATGACAAAATCACGCATCGATCTGTGTAATTAATGTTAATTTTAATTTAATATTTCTACTTTTAATTATCTTATCCAAAACCCCGGAGCGTTCGTTAGCATTTTCCTTTTTAAATAAGTACATGTTAATTTATACATGAATATTGTTTTTTTATATTTGTTCATGTTATTTGATGTGAACTTATTATATATATATATCAATTTATATACTACGTATATGTTATTTTTAAGTAATCACATGTTAATTATTTTATACATGCATGCTGTATTTTATATTCAACATCAATCATTTAGTTATATAAAGCTCTCTTGTGTTAATTTGAACATTTCATACACTTAACAATAATTTTTATGTAATATTTAATTCTCTCCACAGGAGTGAGAATACACATAAATTGGTTTTGAGTACAAAAATGATCAATTTAAAGCAAACTAAGGGCCTGTTATCTTACGTTGAAATTCTGTTCTGTTCAGTTCAGTTCAGTTTAGTTCAGTTCAGTTCAGTTCAGTTCAGCTCAGTTTAGTTCAGTTCTGTTCAGCTCAGCTCCTAATTTCCTTCTCTTATAAAATATTCAGTTCAGTTCAGTTCAGTTCAGCTCAGTTTAGTTGAGTTCGGTCAATGAGAACAGACCCTAACACAGAATCTGAAAGCTAGGCTTCTTAGTTTTAATAGTGTAAAGCTTAGTGTACTGAATAGAGAGTGGCTGGAAAATCTACTTATATAGGGAGTTGTATAGATGTTTTGTCTGTATGAGTTTGTTTTAGGCTGTTTGCTCCGCCTATGTAGCTTGTATTTTTTGGAAAACTTGAGTGTATTCCATTTTTGGTGCAATAAAACTCTCTTATTTACCCAAAAAAAAAAAAAAAAAAAAAAAACAGAATCTAAGAAAATAACTCAAAGTTTGTGTAAATAATACGGGTATTATTGGTAAAATAACATGTTTAGAAGCTTGTGGCCTGCAATAATCAAAATCAAAACCCTGATTTGTTTGACATTACTGTATTAAAATCGTGATAATTTTGAAAAGTGACAGCAAAAAAAGTGGAAACATCTTATTTTTAATATCAGCTTATAACAAACTTATAACAAAAACCGATGTCAAACAATCAACTTTTGTAAGGGGAAAATAAAGAATTAGTTTAAATGATTTAAGTTTAGTATAAATAATTTCGATTCAATAAAATAATTTAAATTTAACAAAAATAATTATAATTCCGTAAAAACAATCCTACTACAGCAAATAAAAAATAAGTGAAACACCTTAACGATCCATCCTGTGCCATCCATCTTGTTGCCATCCAATATCCATAACGGCATGGGTTCCCTAGGTGGCGATATAGCAGCCCAAGTACACGGAGGAAATAGAGACACGGATGAGGCGAATTCCGGCTTACTGACTACTTGATGTCCTCTTGCAAAGTCGGACCAACATTTCAAGAAACTACCACATGAGGTTGCATCAAGGATTTTGTGTATTCCCTTGGTCCCAATTAACACCCCGCCACATTTGAAGACCGTTACTTGTACCGCCAGTGGAACTAGCTCTACAGCCATCAATGACCTACATACATTATACATTTATAAATTATACAAGCTATATTTATACATTTATACGTTGTACCACCAGTGGAACTAGCTCTACAGCCGTCAAATTGAAACTATATTTAAGGATGGAAGGAGTAATTCATTTTTTTTTTATTTGACAACTTTTGACTTTATATACAGTTTGCATTACTTTGACTTCTCTTTGTGATTTAGTATCAAGGAAAAAAAAAATTTGTAACGAGTCATATTATGTTAGTCTAAATGTCTATTTTTCAAACATCAAATTTAATAAATTTTGCAATTACATAATTAAAGATATTAAACTTAAAAGTATGTGTTGCAAACATGTTAAAAAAATGTGGCAACTAATATGAAATGAAACGGAGGAAGTACGAGCCAATGATTAAGCTGAATACTGCGTAAATAACTAGGCCTAAGGCCTAACCAAAGAAAGCATGAAATAGTGAAACGAACCTGAAAGTAGTTTGCGGATAAAGATCAGCGGAAGGCGGGATGATGCTAGGTACGAAACGCCAAACAAATTCAACGCGGTTTAGAGCGTTGAGGAAGGCCGAAAGAGTGCAATCACAACGAGCTTCGACAAAGGGTATGCCTTCGTCGTTGCAGTTGATGGAAGATTCATCAGGAGCAAGTCTACCGGCAAGAGGGTAGTATAGAGACAATGCTTTGGTTAGAGACTCTTTTAGCGCAGCAAAAGTATCATTAATGGACATAATGATGTTATGATCTTCATTACATTACTCAATAGGAGCATAACATGTATTGGTAACCACATAATATAATGGGCAAAGTTGGTCTAGTAGAGATAATTTGTGGTGTTTTAAATGAGAAGGTGTTGAAATTGCTGGTTTTATTGTTTCCCTTGATCATATTTCTACTTGCAACTCCATTATCTTTTGCTTTCTTAGTTTTACTTTAACAATGATGAACTTATATTTATGCATGAATCTCACATAGTCACATACCTTATAATATAGGTCTGCATGAATCTCACATACCTTATACTGTATTAAATTAAACAAATGAATAAATGCTTCATACCCAACATAACTACAATTAATTTTGATTCATTTAAGCAAGACACGTAATGTCTTATTGTCTACGTGTTTAAATTTAAATTACAAAATAAAATCTTTTGAAAATAAGATATGAAATGCAAGCGCCACCCAGGCCTGCTGGCTGCCGCCTGCGCGCCCACGAGGAACTCCACGCTAATAATGGTTCTATCTCTCAGACAATCATACAAATTAAAGACAATATGGAGATAGTAATAAGAACAAAAAATAACTGGCTAACAATTTCGTTTTTCTGTTTCTACTAATCTACAATTTCATTAACCAAACCTTGTGTCTTTCTAGAAAATAAGGATTACACCAATCTAAGATGAAAGCTTCTGAGCTAGCAACTCACATGTCAATACTGCATCTATAGACAATGCTGACCTCCCAGAGCCGAGGACAGGAATGAGGTTAAAAATGGGATCGGCTTGGCCACTATTAAACTTTGGGTTGATCTTTCCGAATTCTTTGAATGCTTGGCTGAATGTAAGTGATAACATCTCCATTTGCACCAAAGAACCAGTTTGAAAGTAAATCCTCAAGTACTGGATTAGAGGAGATGTATAAATATAACATAGAAACAGTCCCGAAAAAAAAAAAAAAAAAAAAAAAAAAAAAAAAAAAAAAAACCATCACTAAAATAGAATAAAGAGCTGAAAACAAGAAACCAAAATATAGGGAATCGACTTACCATTGCATGTTCCCAGGAAAACATGTTTTCGGTGAGGATTTTGTTGATAAGATAAATGCAGAACTTTGCAACCTTTTCAGTTTGTCCTTCGGAAAGGGAATGCTCGGAAACCAGGGAGTCATCGCAAATCTTTGCAATATTTTCACTTGTAATGCTTAGCATAACTGCACATATATGTTTCAGCATAACGCATTTTTGAAGGCAAGATTCATGCCACGGATCCTCCTGAAACCCCCAGTAACTTTGTGGAGTAGCATCACTGGCATCTGGTTGATCTGTGTCACTTGCTGTATCAGAATCATCCTCCACAATGAAAAGTGTTGGTTTTACCTCAACAAGTGCTCTACAATATTAAAAAAATAGAGGTATATATATCAGTATTCCAAAATTTGTGGAGCCAAGTCTTGCACAGCATTGTTAAGCTATTTCATTTGCTATCATCATGGACTCCTGTCTTTTCAGAGTTATTGAATAAAATACGCACCCACAGAAACGAAAAAGGAAAATAGATGCTATTACATGCACATCGAAAGAGCAGAGTTTTACTGTTAAAAAAAATAAAAAAACAAGAACTATGTTTGCATATTAACCTGTACTACATTGAAGGCATAAACTTAAATAAATTAAAACTGACCAGTTTTCCAATGAAAATTGGTCTCAGGCATAAGTGCATAACCCGGAATCTCTAAGAATATGGCAGAGCAAAAGCAAGAAAATTGCACACTTTATGAAGGACATTGCAACTCTGTAAAGACCAACTTAAGTAGCTAAATAAGAATCCTTTACTCCTAAATTGGGACACATACCAAATAGGTTCAGCGAGAGCACTGATTAGGCCTCCCACGTTCCCCAGGTCCCAGGCCGTTCTCTGTTCATTGACAACCACAGCCATATCTTTGACCAATGGCGTTTAAGAAAAACAAACTTTAGAACATGAAGACCAGGACTATATAGAAAGTCGACAGAGATGCAATAGTGAGTAACTACATACTCCATATGCTGAAATCAGGTTGAATTTAAAACAGATAAAGAAGAATAACAAACATCTAGTGAGTACAGATAATTAGTAGAGCAATACATTGATGACAGTGATATTCGACATATATAGTATAGCCAATTTGAAACAGCTCAAAATGAATGTAGGACCAGACAATGATATAGGGAAAGCACCTCTTCGGCAATTGAGGGACGAGGACAAACAAAAGAATTGGATCAAATACTTTAAATCCACTTCTTTTAGCTGAATGAAGTTTCTTTAACTGCTCAAGAAATCCTTCCCACTTGTCCTGCATATCAACCCTATTCAAGGATACAGTTTGTATTGAACAGTAAACAACGAATGAAATTGCAGAGGAAGATATTGAACAACGAAAGCTATCAGCAATCGCTTCGCTATTCAACAATGCCTGATCCAGCTCTGAAATAATGCCATCATCACAAAGGGTCATTGTTGGAGGGTCAAGACCAAGTTGCCCAGCCATATGAAGTATTCCATGATGTAAGGTTGCCTAAAAGAGATCAGAACATAAAACACAATTGTTCATCATGGGCAGAAAGCTCATAGAAGATATATCTAAGTATTTAGACAGAAAAGGAGGGAAAGGGAGAGAGAAGGGGAAGAGTGGAAGGAAAAAGGGGGGGGGGGGGGGGGGGAAGCGATGGGAAACTGGGTTTGTGTTGCTCTTCAGATAATTGAAAAGGATTAAATTTCAAATGCGATGGAAACTACCTAGAACAAGTCATTACATCCCACAAGGATTGAGGGGAAAAAAAAAAGGTTGAGCGTGTACCAAACTGAAAATGACATCTCTTGAGAATTTCATGCTTTCTAACTATAGATCATTGGTTGGGAGTCCTTGGGAGTTGGGACCAATTCTAAACAACCAGTGTTCAAATCTGACAGACTGACACTCTCTACAAGTGTTACACATCTACACGAAGCACGTTCAGAATGGTAACTGAAAGCAATTAGCTATTTAATTTATCTACCAGAATATTAAAATCCTCAAGTGTAATTAAATAAAGGGAACTAGAAAGAATGAATTGAACAGTGACCAAGCATCAGACATGTCTAATACAAATTACAATCAACAAGGGTTTTCAGTGGTTACTTGTTAGGATATCTTGAGGCAAATCTTTTAATTTGTCAAAATGGGATACACAATAGTTTTGGGAACATAAAATATGAAGTTGGTTAATAATCCTAAATTCCAAACCATGAATATCATGATTTTATAACAGCCACTGGTATAAATAAGCAGTCAAAGTCATAATTCCCAAATCTAAAAAAAAAAAAAAATCTTTATAGACAGATTGGGCAAGCCACAAGAGTAGTTCAAAAAAAGAAACAAACCCAGATCAATTCAGCTCTATTTTAGGTCTACTTAGGTCCTCTCAGTTATAAAATCAATCTCTCTTTAGAAATAACCTGAATACAGGAATACATATAAACACTTTACCTGACTGTAGGGCCCTATACAACTAGGTGCCCATCGTGAAATGCTTTGTACATGTAGAACATTTTTAGTTTTGTCCCGTGACACCAAAACTTCAACATACGCTTTCCCTAGCCCTGCTTGCAATAAAGGCAACTCTACTGTGCTGCGTGATGGAACACCAAATCGGCATTTTTCTTGGGTGATATAGCTCACATATGTTTCATTTGCCACAGCAAACTCATTCATATCAGCAATATACATATGAATATAGAGCACATCCTCCCAACTAAAACCACATTGCATGAGTTGTGATTCAAGATGAGATAAAACAACTTTGAGATCAGTCTGCAAACCTAACATTGGAAATGCAATAGGAGAATAATTAAATTTCACGACAAAAATGTCCTACACAATTTTTTTAAAAAACAGGACCATCTTATCATATGCACAGCATCATTTACCAGTCGATAATCTGTGCAAATCTTGCAACCAGCAACAGATGGAGAAAGTATCCCCCCTGTCTATTTTTGACATTTGCAGATGATAAGAAGTATTTGCAATCAGATCAGAAAGAGAGTCAGAAAACTGGCTTGGGTCTGCAGGTAACAATGTGTTATCTCCCTGAATTTCATAGACACCATCCATATCCTCCAAAGATATCCCATTACTAAGATTGCTGTCACTTGAATCTGTAGACAATCCCTTTGGTTCTAAATGAAAAGCCAAAGGATGAAGAACCCCAACAGGAGCTATGGAATCTGGAGAGTGCAATATAACTTGAAAATCATCCAGCACAATTCGAGCAAACTGTAAATTTCAAAAACAAGAAAGCCCATAAGTTTTGCATACTTGAATTTTATTAAGTCAAGGATGTTATAAATCAAGATAATGGCAATGGCAAAGGAAAAGGAAAAGACAAGAGGAATGCTCCGAAAGCAATGTATAAGACACAAATGCAAACCAATTGCCAGTCTTCAGGCAATGAATATACTAGGTAGTAAGCATAGATGGCACTAATTCAAAGTAGGGGAATAAATTCCTGTTTAAATGATGCTGTACTGCATACTGCCAAGTAGTAATTATCGTTATTGACAAAAAGAATTGTGGAAAATACCATATTACCTTAAATAGGGGACAATCAAGGGTCAACGTTTCATACTCCCCTCCTTCACCACATACATTAGATCCATACAAGCTACCAAAATGTACAGTGAAGTTGTGAATCATAGTTTATATTAGTACAATCAAGAAAAAAATATGAGAAAAGTTGTCAAGTTGAATATATACCCATTCAAATGATGAAGATGGGACTGCAACTCAGCTAGCTCCTTTCCCAAGTGCTTTGCAGGGTGCAATCCAATAGCTGCAACCTACAAATGTGAACAGATCGAACTAGCATTACATACGCGCCAAACTTTTCCTTGTATTTCCAAAATAAACAGATTGACAAGCTTTGTATTTGGAGGCAAAGGGCCATAAAGCTTTGATGCCTTTGAGTCAAGGCAACAGAGTCAGAATCATAAAACCACAAAAAAGGCTTAAATAAAGTATGTAAACATAGCACTTCAATCGGAGATCACTTTCAACAAATTCTCACAATATTGTGAAATAAGTGAAAGTTTCTCACAACATATAGTCATAAATCTCATTTTTAGAAGTAATGAAACCCTGATAATGAAATCGTAATTTAACCTAGACCCTCGACAAGGACTACTGTAAATCTGTGATCAATTTGCTTGCCAAAAGAATCAAACCTCTTTGGGTACTTACAGGTAATAGCTAATGCATATGTACTTTTCAATGACTAGTATCATTAATGATGTACACTAGTATGTTAGAACTAACGTCATCTTTGTATGAAACATCATCAATTGAATCAGTTATGGAACATTTCCGACAAGATATTAAATAATGACATTTCAACTAATACTCTCATTGATAGCTATAATTTGAAACAGAACAAAAATTCTTAGCACTCTGAATCCAAAATATTCCAACTGTTTCCAGTATGTTACAAGATGACATTATTCAGAAAGACTTGAATATGCAAACCATACCTTCACTATGATAGCAACGATCCCACTTGATATCTATTGGACCACAAAACAAAAATTAGTGGTAGAACAGAGCTGAGATTTATGAAAAAAATTCAAAATGTTTCGGCTATCTCAAGTTACCATTTCTTGAAAGAGCAGTGACTGCTCTTGTTTCCACAAATAAGATAAAGACACAAGTCCTAATCGTGAACACACGCTTTCAACTCGTAGCCTCTGATAGTCTGATGCTATTGCACCTGAAGAAACTGCTGCAATAGCGGGTATTTGCCTCTTCACTTCGTTTAATAAAAGAAACATATCTTCAACTTCATCGCCAGGAGTCATTTTGTAACTAAGTTCATGGTGCCTGTCTAAGTCACAAACTATAGCAATTTAGAGTTGCTTCCATCATCTATCAACCACTGCAGTAATTAAAAAAATTTATTTATCCTTTATATTTCTTGGTTTCACGTAAGACAGACAATGGTGCTTTATTGAAGTTACAAGAATGATCTACATGATACACAGAGTCATATAATGTTTGTTTGAAAAATAAAAACACCTTTCAGAGAGAAACAAGTTACTCCAAACTCACAGTAAGTGCAAAATATTCATCTGAAACCTCAATATTGACTTTCAGCATTTCACAAGAAAAAGAAACACCAATGTTCAATCACCAAGAAAAACAGCAACCCAGAATGGATCCACAACTGTCAGAAACAATGCATTATAAGAGAAAGTACAAGTAAAAAGTAACAAAAAGATTTTTCTACTTAAGTTGTACATCCAGAGTTCAATTTATATATACAGATATATATGAACGGAGTAATAGAATAGCTAAAACAAAGTCTATATTCTAGATTCTAGAAGCCTCCGAGACAGTGAGACACGATTAACAGCGTTTCTGTCCAAAAAAAAAAAATCAAAACGGCACAGTGGATACATGGAGCAGAAATGGGAATCTTGCACACACAAGCACCCCTTTTGTTTGCGTGTTTGTTGATTGATACCCCTTTTATAAACATGCAGAACTGCAGATATACAGGTATACACATAGATTTTCACATGGAAAGAGGATAATTAAATGATAATAAGGCCATTTTCAAGATTCTCAAATAAAACAAAGTAAAACATTGCCTATTAGCCAACGAAGAGAGTACTTTAGCTAAGAGCACGAAGAAAAAAGATGATTAAGTTACCAAAAGCAATCCTGTTTAAAGAGCTTGCCTGGTGGATCCTTGTAATCGCCTTCTGAATAGTGGTAATCCCATGCATTTTGCATAGCTGACAACAATTTGATGACCCACCTACAACCATTTATCCAAGAATCAAAGAGATGTCAGGAATTAGATAACAACCTTTTAGTAAATTCTGATTCTATAAGAACCAACTAAGAAAGAGGATTCCATGTTAGAAAATTAAAGAATCTTATGACATTTGGAAAAATCATAGAAGTATATTCTTCGGTGATGATGGAACTCACGCTAGTGATTACGAAACAAAGGTTCTACCACAAAATTAATGCAAACCAGGTAATCCAATCTTATCCAGGGAACAAAGAAAGAATAAGGATATAAAGCACGAAAAAGAGAGAGGATGAAAGAAGGGGGCACAGAAGAAGGGAGGAAAAGTAGCTCAATTCCTTATTCTTTGTAGTCAAATCGAAAAACACTTCTACTACACCAACCCAACCCCCCAACCCTACACACACACACACAAACAAACAAAAAAGGAAAGAGAGAGAGAGAGAGATCCTAAACAATATATTGTATACCAATAAACTAAAAATATAGTTGAACGAACTCCAAAGCAATCCCCTGCCTTAAAAATCATATGATACATGAAGTATATATCATCTTGACCATATACAAAGTAATATAACTGTATTGACCTCAACTTTTAGGCCTTTTAGATTCTAGGTTAGCAAACCGGCCTAATCTAATCCAAAAGATAAAACCCAAGTGAAACCCAAGTGAAACCCAACCTAGGAAGAGAATACAAATCCGCTTATCCAGTGGCATGAAGTCTCAATACAAAACATAAAACCCAAGTACAGAATGAAAGAGGAGACATACAGTTTGATACATATAGCTGTCCAATTCATCGATTGAGTCATCCACGGGCATCAAATTAGCCAAGGCCACGATCTACATAAAAGTGACAAGAAATTTAAACCCGACATACATATTATCTGATCATTATAACTCCTCAGTTATTCATAATCATAACAGATATAAGGTATCTTAAGATAAATAAATAAAAGTGTTAAAGCACCTCATGGCCATAATGGATGCATTGCATCATGGCATAGCAACTGTCTTTGCCGCCGCTGACCAAAGCAACCACCTTCATCTTGAGGTTTTTGGTTAATGCAATTGCAATCAATGTGTTTACACTCTACAATAATGAATAACCACAATAATCAACTATACAATACATAGTCAAGGTTGAACACATCAAATCTTTTTCCCCCAAAAAATCATAAAATTATAAATTAACCACCATAAATTGACACTCTAGAAATTTCCAGGAAATTATATAAATGTAGATAGTGACATAAACCAAATTATAATCCTTTTTACATTCAATTATCAATCACAAGCAACCCTATTATAAAAATTAAATAATAAGATCACAACATTAACTCAACAGTTGCAAAATAATAGGAAATTAAACTTCAAAATAGTAATATTCTTTATGATTTCATAGTTAAATCCTAAAATCAAAGTGTTGTACAATACATTAGCAACCAAATTTGATTCATAATTATAGGGATATTTGATATGATGATAACAAATACAAACAACTTACCTCAGAAGTTGCTTCAATGGGGGATACAACAACTAGATTCACGCCAACTGCGCTTCAATGGATATCTCACTAATCTCAGAGAGACCAATTCTATGGATCTCTAATCCCGTCACAGTTATTAGAGTAAAACTAGTGCCAATATTCTTTTTTAACCTTAAATTTCGCAAAAAGTTTGAAGACGACGTCGATTTTCCGGCCGTCGTCGGCGGAGAGACGGGGAGTTCGCCGGAGAGGAAAGTTGAAGAGATTGAAGGGAGAATAAAAGACGGCAACTGTAATTATCTAGTGGAGGCGCTGCGTAAGAATGAAGAGACTTGAGAGGTTTAATATCAAGGGTATTTTTGTCATTTTAGTGTTTTTTTTTTTTTTTATGTACTTTCAAGACACACGAATTTCAAGTCTTTAGGGATGAGTTCCTAGATCTATTAATTAATCCACGTTGATTAGTCGGATTCGTGTTAGATTTCGGGTCATTTAATTCGAGTGGTTTGGAATTTTGAATGTTTGAATCATTATAAAATCCTTCCTTCGATTATATTTTGTAAAAAAAATGCACTCATAATAAGAAGGCGAGAGAGGATAATAAAGCAACTGGAGTGTATTAATAAATGCAATGTATAAACATAGTAAACAAAATGCGTCAACTAAAAATAAACTTCCTAAAAATGAATAAGTGTCAATTAAGAAAACGGAGGTAAGTATGATAAATGAGTCAATTTTGCAACAGGTTAGGAATTGAAGGGTCATCCAGATTTTTCCAACTCCTTTCATCCCTTTTGTTTGTCTTGTTTTTGTTTTGTTTTTTTTTTTTTTTTGGTTTTATTATCTTATATGGTAACTTTTTTTCGCACTTATTACTCTCTATATCTCTTATATCTACAATCTTACTCATAGACCCATTTGCATAATTTTGTTTTATTTCTAAAAACAATGAACACGGTTTTACAAAATAATAATAGTAAAAAAAAAAAAAAAGGATATAGAGAGAGTAAGTAAATAGGTTTGTATTGTACTTGTGTTTAACATTGTATGCTAAAGCACAAACCCAAACTAAGTTGACCTAAACGCCACGAGAGATTAGATTCAGATTTGTCAAGATATCTTCTCCAATAAAAAAAAAAAAAATATTGTACTTGTATTAATATGTTAATATTTTTAATACAAAGTGCACATTAAGATAAGTCAATTGAATTGAATAGGACCAATTTTGTGTGAAAGAGAAAGTGTGGCAAGTGAGAAATACTATGTTAATCACCTTGATCACTTGATGTGTATCATTATTCATTAATTACCCATTTTCTAACCATCATATTTTTTTAAGGTCATAGGACTCATAGCCTCATAGGACTGATAGGACCGAGTGACCTAGTGTGAATTGTGTTTTGTGTAGTAACAAACAGCCTAAAAGGCCTTTCTGTTACAACGAAAGGTAGGTTTTGTAGCTAGTACTAGCCCAATAATGAAATTGGGCAGCCCAAATCTTTGGTCCAATCACTTCATGCTAGGAATTGGGCCCATAAACTCTTCTATTGATTTTTTTTTAAACACTCATCGATTGATTTTATTTTTACACCCTTTTCTTTTTCTTTCTAAATCTAACATTGATTTAAATATAAATTCTTAAATGGACCTGATTCACACTAATTTATTATAAACCACTAACATTAAAGAAATTATGGTTGTTTTATTAGTAAAAAAAGGGTCACTATAATAGAAAAAAAGTCCCTATGTTGAAATAAAAGTCATTTTTGGTAATATATAGGCTATAAGAGGTTAATTTTTTTAATGAAATATTTTATATACTGGTTAATATGAATAATAAAGGTTACTATGTTAAAATTAGGGTCATAACGTTGTACTTTAAGTTCACAATAATATTAAACGTTATACTAGTTTTGATAAATGTTACTATGTTAAAAATAAGGTTACTATGTAAAACTAAGGGTCACTATGTTCAATATAAAGTCAGTTGCGTGTGTATAAACCTTGGGTCCACAATAATCCACAATAACATTATTGTGGATCAGGTCCACGCAAGTTTTTTTTGTGATTTAAAAGATACAATATAGAGAATGTAGTTTAAAAAAAAAGAAGAAGATATAGAGAACTTTTTTTTTTCGAAAACAGATATAGAGAACTTTTTAGTGCATTAAACATTTTTTTTTAGTATAAGAGAGGGATAAAGCACTAAAGTCTAAAACCTATTATTGTACCTTCCAACATTGAAAAATCTACGTAAATATAAGTTTTTTCCCCTTTGTTTCTATTTTTTTTTTCTATAATAAGCATTAAGCTTATTTATAAAAGGAATAGTTTTTTGTGTAGTAGGTCTACAACGAATTATGAAACATTTACCTTTTTGGTCAATAATATATATGCTCATATGCATATATTTGAAATAGTTTTAAATGCTAGTTTAATTAGTACCTACAACAATAGGCAAAACAAAAAATAACATTGTAATTCATTGTTGTAAACGGCCATACCGAATTGAGAACTGGTGTCTCAGATCTGCTGTTGTGGCAGACATGGTGAGGTCTGTTTTTGCAATTCATGTTCCGTGTTCTCATATGTTTTCATTATCTCGAAGGCTTTGTATTCTTCGTCATCGTTTGTTAGCCTGGTGTGTTACTCACAAGAAGATGTGGGGTATTGATTGGAAATCTTTGGTTGCTGATGTTTCTCAAGCGTATGTTGTTCTTAACTCCCGTTACGACCGTTGCCTTTTCCATACAATGCAAAAGGAGAAGATTGCTGAGGCCCAGGCGGCTTTTCTCTTTTGGAAACATAGAGCCAAATTGAAATGGGATGCGTTTGGTGATGAGCATACCCGACTACTTTTTTCAACTGTTCAGGTTCGGCGAAGGAAAAACTATATTCTGGGTTTGCGAGATACTGATGGGTCTTGGGTATCAGATGTGGGGGGTATTCGTTCGATTGCTTTGAATTTCTACAAGGTTCTTTATAGTGGGGACTCACAATGTCCTTCCTCGGTTCAATCCTCTGTTTCTCGGTTTTCTTGGGATTCTCTTCATTTGCCATCTTTATCTGATACGCATCGCCAGTTCTTACTAGCTCCTTTCTCAGCTGACGATATTAAGCGGGCTCTGTTTAGCATTGCAGATGACAAATCTCCAGGTCCAGACGGTTTTTCTTCGACATTTTTCAAGACCTATTGGCATGAGGTAGGAAATCACGTGATCACGCCTGTTCAATTCTTTTTTGCTCATGGGTATTTACTAAAGGACTGGAATCGTACGTTCTTGGTTTTAATCTCAAAGGTTGATCATCTTGAGTTTATTTCTCAATTCCGTCCTATTGGCCTTTGTAATGTCGTCTATAAATGCATTACTAAATGTCTTTCTCATCGATTGCGCGGTGTACTTCTGGATTTAGTCTCAGACTACCAGAATGCCTTTATTCCTGGTAGGCTAATGTTAGATAACTGCTTGATGGTGCATGAGTTGATTTCTTTCATGAATGCCTCCAAAGCTAGGAAACGTTTTTATGCAGCCCTCAAACTAGATATGAACAAAGCCTATGATAGTGTTAGTTGGGAGTTTTTATCCCAGGTGCTTCAAGTCTTTGGTTTTCCTCCCTATTGGATTCATTTAATTATGCAGTGTGTTTCAACGGTGTCATATCAAGTGCTTGTTAATGGTGCTCCTTCCGAGTCTTTCCGTCCTCAGTGTGGTTTACGTCAAGAGGATCCTCTTTCTCCCTACTTGTTTGTTCTTTGCATGGAAGTGCTCTCTGCGATGCTGAGGAAATCTGAGATGGAGGAGTTGTTTCATGGTATTAAAATTTCGAGGGGAGCACCATCTATATCACATCTGTTCTTCGCGGATGACTCTTTATTGTTCTTTCAAGTTTCTCCTACTTCTTGTGAACAGGTGATGAATATTATTTCTGAGTTCTGTGCTATCTCGGGACAAATGCTTAATATGCAGAAATCGTTTGTAAAGTTTAGCCCGAATACTCCGGAGGATTATCGGGCATATTTGTCTAAATGTTTACAGCTACGTTCTGAATCACGATTTGGTACTTATCTAGGGCTTCCTGTCGATTTAGGTCGTAGTAAGTGTTCCGAGTTTGGTTTTCTTGTAGATAAGGTGGCTAAACGCCTTGAGGTGTTTGCTGCATTACACATCTCCCCTGCGGCGAAGTTGATCATCATTAACTCGGTGATCCTTGCCTCGTTCAATCATATTTTATCTGTTTTCCAGATTCCAGATTCTATTTGCTCTAGGGTGGACAATTTGCTAGCCAAGTTTTGGTGGAAATCTTCGCAATCGAGTCGCGGGATGGCTCTTCGTTCTTCTAAGTTACTGCACCTCCCGAAGGGACTAGGGGGTTTGGGTATTCGTAGTCTTACTCCGTTTAATTCTTCCTTATTAGCAAAACAGAGTTGGCGTCTCATTCAATCCCCGCAGCTGTTGGTTTCTCGTCTTCTGTTTGCTAAATGCCCTTCTTTAGCAAGGGGTGTTACGTCCTCGGTTTCTTGCCCTTCTTGGGGTTGTCGGGGTCTTCTCTCAGGACTTTTTGTTTTGTCTAAGGGTTTGGTTTGGAAGGTTGGTTCGGTTCTCGGGTTCGTATTTTGGAGGATTCTTGGGCTCCTGGTGGACAGGTTCAGTTTAAGGATTTTCCGTCAGAGGCGGTTAGACCGACTTTTGTATCTTCTTTACTTGATCCGCGTTCTTACGCGTGGGATACTTCGATTGTTCATAGGTTCTTTGACTCTTTATCGGCTACTAGGATTCTTTCTTTAGATCGGCCGGGGAGGCAAATGGATGATTTTGTATACTGAAAGTTCACTAGAGATGGTGTTTTCTCCACCAAATCGGCTTATGCCTTTCTTTGCCAGTCCCCTATGACCCCTGGTTTTGGTAGCCGGTTGACTCCAACTTGGTGGCGGAGGTTTGGTGGCTTCCTATTCTCCCTCGGTGGAAAGTGTTTGGCTGGAAAATATTACATGGTGCTCTTCCAATGGCATCCCTTCTACATTCCCGTGGTTTTCCGGTTGACCCGGTATGTGCTTTTTGCCATCAAGAGTGGGAGGAGGTGTCGCACACCTTTAGAGACTGCCCTGCTGTGCGATCTTTATGGCAATCGGGAACGTTAGGGGTTTGTTGGGATCTTTGGCAGTTCCCCCAGTTCGGGGAGTGGCTGGCTGACACCATTTCTCGGTTCTATTCTCAAAAATTTTGGAAGGGTATCATGTCTTTATTTGCTATCCTTTGGGCTATTTGGCTTTCTCGGAACCAGTTAAGATTCAGACATGCGGTTTGGTCACCCAGACAATTGAAGGTTTGGCTGAGGATTGGTTCCATCGTTGTGTCCAATCTCAAGATTGGAAGAAATCTGTATTGGGATCTTGTTCGCCTAGTTCGCATGTGCTTTCAGGGGATCCATGGTTGTGTTTGAGGGGATTACCTGACATATCCCCCACAGTTTGTTTGATCGTTGATGGAGGTAGGGATTGCTCCACTTGTAGGGCTGGGGCAGGTTGGGTTATCCGTGACCTTTGTTCTTCGGAGGTTTTGGGTGGAGGTAGTAGGGCCTTTTTGTCCGGGTCGGCCTTACAGTCTGAGCTACAAGCTTGTTTGTGGGGACTTCAAGCGGCGGTTCGTAAAGGTTTCTTGAAGATTCGGATTCATTCTGATTGTGCGACCCTCCTTTCTATGATTCTGAATTCAGGTCCAATGGACATTTCGGTTTGGTGGCTCATTCTAGAATTGCGGGCGGTTGTAGAGTCATTTTTGGTATGCCAAATTCGTAAGGTTCCTCGGTCATGGGTTTCTCCAGCTCACTGGTTAGCTGGTTGCGCTCTGCGACGACAGTTGTTGTTTTTTCAGTTCTAGTTTGTTTCTTTATGTTGTAGTTTGTTTTTTTCTTGTTAGTTCTTTTGTCAAAAAAAAATAATAAATAAATAATAATAACATTGTATTTTAAAATGTAAATCATATCTTACATAGTACTAATTAGGAATGAACCAAAATGTTGAACTAAATCAATTATATATGAAGTTAGATGAACTAGCTAGGTATCCAAGAATCCAACTCAAAATACTGGACATTCAAATTAGATCCAAATTATCCAACTTGAACTACTGTAGCTTGCCATCACTTGCCACTTGGATGACTACTACTGATCAATTCTGAATAAGGCCATAAGTGTTAGCCAATCGACCACAATCACTACATGTAGAATCAAATTAGAAAGATCAAAATTGCATACTTCCCTAGTGAGGTTTCATTATGATATGATACTTCAATTTAATATTTATTTATTTTTGTCCGAAGTGGATGGACTAAATTATTAACTGGATCATTATTTATGAAGTAAGATGAACCAGATATGTAATTCAAAATATTAAACATTCAAATCAAATCCAGATTATCCAACTTCGGCACCCTTACCTTGCAAACACTTGCCACCTAATAGAGATCAATTTTGGTTATGGCCTATCTGGTCGATCACAATCAAAAACCTTACAATTGCATAATATTACACTGGCCAAGTTTCGTTTTAGTATGATACTTAAATTCGATCCATTTTTGTCCTTTGTAATTTTTTTACAAAATTATTGTCATGATGTCGAACCATTTCCACGAGTCATTCCTAGAACACACTAGTCTCTTTTTTTGGTCATAAATATGAATAATATTAAAGAATATGCAAAGTAATTTCCATCACACAAAGAATTTGTCATTGTGGACGAAATAGCTTGCCCTTCGTGCATGGAATATGTACAATTAATAATTGGATAAAGGAAAGAGATTTATGAGAGGACATCTATTTATTGCATTATTTTGTTGGCCAAAATATTGTTGGTATATAGCCTTAAGTCATGAACCCTAAGTTTTGTAGCAGGAAAATGTTCGATCTATATTACCCCACTTTTGAAAATGAATTACTACTTGACCAATTAAGTCTTCATTTTGATTCGTTTAAGACGTGAAAAGATGTCAAGTAATAGTATCCTATTTTGTTCATGCATGGATCAGACAACATTAATAATAAAATATATGTGTACTCCATTCAATTTGATTCATCTACATATCAATTAAATCTTCTTAAAACAATACAATATACCATTAAGATGACACAAATAAGATTTTTTAAACACGCAAATTTTAAAGTTACACATTAACAATTGATTATTAGTCTTAGTATATTTAATTACGTTTTGATCATAGTAAATAATATCTTAAAAATATCATGAAACAGAAAAATCATGTTTACAACATACTATTGCTAAATATCTCATTAACAACATATCTCATTAAATGCTATATGAACCAGTGCCCAAGGGCAATGGCTAACAACAATAGAGATCTTCATTCCTTGTCATAGTCATGACAACCCAATTGTTAAGTCCAAGTACTTATAAAGATTTTACGTAATCCACAATCTATATAGACTCGGAAAGAGACAATTAAGGACACCCTATGTTATTTAATGTGTATAAGTGTATTTTAAAAATACGTAACAAATAAAACTTGTTAAATTGTTACTACTTGTAGAGTCGTAGTACTGAAATTAGACTCATACTATCTCATTGACATAATTTTCAAGGTCTAAATAATACAAATGTCTTAAATAACCTAGAGCAGATGGACTACTTATGAGAGATTATTCCGGATCTATTATACAACTCTTCCTACTTACTACATAAAAATAGTTCGTACAACATTAATTTATACTTAAACATGTTTGATTAGTGAACGAACAACTAATTATATGTGAAGGGACTATATATCTCTTATGCATGTAGTTCTGTACATTGTTTGTACCAGGCCATAAGAATTCTTCTTTTATTAATTATAACTAAATTAATCATTTTTTTCCCCAATTTTTAAGTATCATTTTCGACTTTTTAAATTTAGTAAAATAAAATATCATACAAATACGAAGTATATATCTATCATATCTATCACTCTTAGCAAGTGGGACATAGGAAGCCCTATATATATACAAGTCTAAATGTAACAAATAGTTGTAGTAATAGCACCATAGATCAAATCCTCTTAAAAAAAAAATTAAATAGCATATAATAGAACAAATAGCAGCTTCTACATACATATATACGTAGTATTTTAGCATAAATTTGGTTGCTCCAATAATGGTTGATAGTATTGTTGTTGATAGAGATAATGAAAATCAAAGTAATAGATATGAGGGAGCAACAAATACTAGAATTCTTCCAGTTTCAGCTACTCCCCCTTCAAAGGCTTCAACTCCCTGGTAATTTACTATTCTTTATCATTTTTTTTTCCTTTTTCGAATTGGGAAGGTACTCGAAAATTGATGAAAAAAAACATAGGGTTGCTAATTGAGTTGAGCAACTCACTCGGTCAAAACTCGACTCAAATTATAAGGGCTTTAAATTTGCGTCACTAATATTAACACAACATTTTTTAGGTACCAAAAGGAGGAAACTATGGAGGAGAAAAGAGTTGGGAGGAGTGCAAAATTCCTTCATTGGATAGGCTACGAAGAAATTTTCTCTTCACAGGTATTGTCACCATTTTAACGTTCTAATACGCGAATTGTTTTTGTAATTTTAAATTAATTTTGTGTTCCTACATAATGTGAAATCAAGTTAAAAAAAAAAAACTTCTATTATGAAATCCTTTTCAAAGATATTATTGCATAATTTGAAATTCAAAAGTACAAACATGGTTTCTAATTTTAGAGTTTAAAGTTCCGTCCTCACGCGCTGATCATAAATCGAATACTCGTAATGGCTGTCACATGTAGCAAATCAATTAATCAAATGACGCTTGAAGCTAATTGTTTTTGGTATTTTGTTATATGTATTTATATTAATGGTTTAATGCTAATAACTATAACGTGCGACCAATTTTTAGGTATGGAGAGCATCCGTGGCAGAACTCCTAAGCACAGCCATTTTAGTATTCATGTTAGATACAATTTTTATATCCTCTAAGATAAGTCATGAAACACCCAACATTGTATTTGCTTGTTTTGTTGCTCTCATAGTAGCATTTCTTCGCCTTGCTACACATCCCATCTCCGGTGGCCATAGCAACCCAACGATCACCATCTCCGCGGCCTTTATGGGCCTCATATCCTTATCGAGAGCCATGATCTATCTTATAGCCCAATGCATAGGGTCTATACTCGGCGCATGGGCACTTCAGGCAATGGTTAAAGACTCTATAACAAATAGTTACTTGTTAGGGGGGTGTACACTCGCGGTGGCCACCCCCGGCCCAGAAGGCCTCACCACAATCGGGATTGAGACAGCACAAGGTCTTTGGGCCGAGATCATCTACACATTCATTTTCCTATTCTCGGTGTGGATGGCCTTTGATCAACAACGAGCGAAGGCCTTGGGTCAACTTGTGATGTGCTCGATTACCGGTGTCGTGGTTGGGCTGACTATGTACCTGTCCACCACAGTGACAACCAAGAAGGGCTACACTGGAGCAGTTATCAACCCAGCAAGATGTATTGGGCCTGCAGTTGTGAGAGGGGGGCATCTTTGGAATGATCATTGGGTTTTTTGGGTTGGGCCTATACTAGCTTGCTTTGCATTTTATCTGTATAGTATGGTCCTTCCACTTGAGCATTTCAAAGCAAGGATAGCTAAAGAATAAGCCTAAAATTTGTATTTGGAATATACTGTATCAAGCATTCAAGCATATGCAAGTTTGTAATACATACTAAGATGTTGTTGATAAATAAATTATATTATGAGAAAGCAAACAGTTTTGTAATGTTTGCTTTCTAAACAAGATTTGTAATATGATGATTTGAAAATTATTAGATGCATTTATCTTATAAGATTAAATTTTATTACATGTATGTGGGAGCAAAAACTTTCAAATGATGTATAAATAAACCATATTAGGATGAAAATAACAGATTCGATTGTAGTATTATCGGTACATCATTTGACATCATATGTTCCTTATCCTGTACATCTTATAAGCTCTCCATAAGTCCAAATAAGATATAACTATATTAACATGAATTGCTTTGCCACATAACTTAGCATTTCAAATTTTACATAATGAAGAATTTTTTTTGCATAAAAAAAACTAGTAAATGAAGGATTACCTACCATTTTACAGTTTTACACTGTCATGGTCCTCAAGGACATTGGCATATACACCGTCATGATCCTCAAGGACATTGGTGTGAACGAGGCGTAACAAATGGATTGATCAACATTTCTCAAGCAGATAACACTATGCAAAGTAATCCTTCCCAGTACCAGGGATACATTACTGTATTACAATAGCTACATGGAAATACAAAAACATATATAGGAAGCCGAACAACACAAGATTTACTAACACCATGAACTGAAATTGCTTCCAATACAGAAGTGATTTAAGACACATTAGGATATAGGCTTTCGTTTATTTTTTATATGCAATATCAGTGATGTGGGATAAGATCATGAGGCCGTCTGCAAAAATGAAGTAGGATCGGCAAGGGGCTCATGAACAACCGAGTTAGTTGAAACTGATACAGGGTTACCTTCTAATTGTAACATCATACTCCCTAAGATCTCCAGCAAGAGCTTCTTGAAATCTTCTTCTTTTACTAGCTTTCCATCATCAGCATCTACCATCTTAAACACTTCATCAGTAACCTTGTCCATCTGTTCATAGTATTTTTAACTATGTCAGCTATGACTAACGGTAAAGTATTATATAAACATAATGAAAGACAGAGAGACAGCTTCCATAACAATTTTGTCTACACTTAAGAACTTAAGTATTAGAACTTTAAAGATTACAGAGACATAACTAGCATAACTTCAAAAGAGCTTAGATATACCTCAGCAATAGCACCATAGGGAGGCAAACCAGCAGACGGGGCCAATGAATCTAATGCCAAGCGAAGATACTCCTTCGACAATCTTCCGTTCTTATCTCTAGGTATATCTTCCAGCACAGCATTCAGTACCTAGTTATATCATCCACATACAATAACATTAGTGTCTGAAGCCAAAATTTTCCACAATGATTCTAAGATTTTTAACTTTGTTCATGGACCTGGGAACAAATATTTGACAGGTTTATGGCAGAGCGTCAGACTCAGCTATCGGATATCAAGGATCCAACAAAGGTATGAGGTTTGACACGTGTAATAAGTCACAAGAGTCTGAGTAATATTGTAAGAGATGTTATCTAGCCAGTATGACAATTATGAGGTTTGATATGTCATATGTGTGACAAGTGATTACTGATAAGTCAAAAGATGACGGATTTACCTTGTCTGTTTCAAACTTATTAGCTAAAAGAGTCTTGATGGCACTTCCATCATAAGTGTTCTCAGTGTGTGCAACAATCACCGGTTGCTCTCTAAGACGCTCAACTATTTTTTCAAGTACTTTCTTGAGTTCCTCCAGGAAAATCTCCTGAGATGATATCAGTTGCTGATCGTTACTACAGTCCTGAGTACACAACTCCAAAGCTGGTTCCACAATATTGCTCATAACCTACAACATCACACATGACTGTAAGAGTATAGTCAATGATGCACTTGAAATAATTGATGAGACGAGGAGTAAGGGAAAATATTATATTACCCAAGAATCTGAAATAGGGGGCAACCCCTGATCAACACCAAGCTTTTGCAAAGCTTTGACAATGTGATCACACATAGTTGCATTTGGAGTTGCAGTCTCAGAAAAAATTAACACCATATCCGTCTCAAAAGCAGGACTACTAATATATTCATGAAGTTCTTCACCATCAATGCGGAGGATGACAATGGGGTCCCGTTTTAATCCAGCAGCCATGCCTATAAGGATGTCTGAGAGAACTTCTTTAAACTCGCTCTTGCTTACTTTCTCCTCTTTACCATGAGTAAATTCATTCAGAACCTATAATAGACACCAGAAATAAATAAATTATTACAGCATCATTATCTGTATCTAGTGCTATTTGTATATTTTAGTTCCCCAAACACTCAATACAAGCCACCCTCTTTGCCATCAAACAAGTAAAGTCATGGATTACATGGTTAATAAATTTCTCATTTTTAACATCTTTGAACTATCAGATGACTTGTACCTTAATATCACCTTTCACCATCCTTTAAAATCGTGAATCTCACAACTAATATGTTAGTTGTTGACCTCTTTTAACCCAAACAGCTCACAGACCTGCCATTTTTTGGAGCTCTATATGATCTGCAGTTTCAATTGGCAGATAGAGACATTTCCCAAACCGACCAAACCATCCTATTGGTATACTCCATAACTTTAGGTGTACTTATCTTAATATATTTTCCTAAATTGTGGTCCTTGTCCATATTTATTGCCTAAACTATGAGATTAATTAAGATCCTCATAAAAATTGTGATCCAAAAGGTTAGCTTGTGTTGAGCCTTTTGATTTTGATGGACAAATTGACAAACTCGACTAATGAATGTTTTGAGTCTTTGGTGAATAAAGGGTTCAAGCAAAGTTCGTTCCGGAGTAGGAACTTGGATGCGGAGTAGCATTCTTTAAAAAGCCTCGTGCAAATCTCACGTTCTAGTTTTAATTGTGAGCACTCAATAATATAAAGTCGGAAAGGAACTCAATGACTTATGTTAAAGACTACTGGAATAAAAGTTAGTTTTAAAAGATAATTTCTTAAAGAAAAGATAATTTGTAAAAGTTTTAATAAAGATAATTATCGAAGATAATTATCTAGTTGTTTTAATAAATAATAAATTTATCTTTTCAAATAAAATCTTTTTAAACAAACTTTTGATAATCTTTTAAATAAATATTTGATAAAGTTAGCAAGTGGTTTTTCTGTGAGAAAATCTTTTATACGGCTAATGGTTATCAAGTTGTTAGGATAGTGGTTTAATTAGATAAGGCTAGGAAACCTCTTCATGATCACAATCTGTCAAGATAACTCCACAAGTTGTTAGTGGGTTGTTGACATGTGGACGTGATTATGGTGGAGGTTAATGACTAAGCCTTCTCTATAAATACTCATGCAAACTATCTCAGAAAAACATAACTCTTGAGCATAAAAATTCCAGTAGTCATCTAATAACATAAAGAGAGTTATTTTCCTTCATATATTCTTGAGTGCAATAGGTATTTGTAATCACAGATTGTATTCAAGTACTTAGGGGTTGGGATTGTGAGTTTGTAAAGTGAGGTCAAGGAAGCTTCGTTGCTGAAGTCTTCTGTGAGAGTTGGGAACAAGTTCCTAATTTGTGGAACTTGTTAACGGGTTTGAATCTTCACTTGTAAAGAGTTTGATTACTTAGTGGAAATTTAGAAAAGCCTATATCTTCTCTCGTCACTATTTCATTTAGTTAAATTCCGCAAAAAGTTTTTAGATTTCACCTCAAATACAATTCACCCCCCCTCTTGTATTAGCCAGTTAGACTTTCAGTTGGTATCAGAGCAGGAACTCAGAACACGCAGGCAACCCTGTTGAGTAAGTTCCTGGAAAATGGCTTACACAGAGGAAAAGGAATTCGGGAGTACATCCATTCAAAGGCCTCCATACTTCAACGGCAAATTTTATCCTTATTGGAAGGATAAGATGGAAATCTTTATCCAAGCAGAGAATTATCAGGTATGGCGAATTATACAAGTAGGAGATTACGAAATTACGAAAACGAATGCTAATAATGAGGTAATCCCTAAACCTATGGATGAGTATGAAAAAACTGATTTTGAAAAACTTGAAATGAATGCTACTGCCAAAAAGTTTTTAATTTGGGGACTTGGACCCGATGAACATACTCGTGTCAAAGGGTGCAAGTCCGCAAAGGAAATTTGGGATCTTCTGGAAGTTACACATGAAGGAACGTCAGATGTTAAACGTTCCAAAATAGACATTCTTTTGTCTCAGTATGAGCGCTTTGAAATGGGAAACAAAGAATCCATTAAAGACATGTTTACTCGATTTAAAGGTATTACTAACGAACTAACGTGTCTTGGCAAGATAATTCCTATAGATGAGCAGGTCAGAAAAGTCTTAAGAAGTCTTCCAGACAATGACAGATGGAGAGCAAAGGTTGCAGCGGTGCAGGAATCAAAAGACTTCACCAAGTTCAATCTGGAACATCTTGCGGGTTCCCTCATTACTCACGAGATCCAGTCGAACAATCGGACTCAGGAGACTGTCAAAAGTCAAGGGCTAGCATTAAGAGCTAATGAAGAATCCGAAGAGAAGTCTGACATCGATGAAGAAGAAGCTGCAATGTTGGTGAGAAGGCTGAAAAAATTCTACCGTAACAACAAGTTTTTAGACAAGAAGAAAGGATACAGTAAAAGAAATCAGGAACCCAAAGCCAAGTCTTCTTGTCACAAATGTGGAAGCACCAACCACTTCATCAAAGAGTGTCCATTATGGGAATCTGAGAAAGGCAAGGGAAAAGAAGCTGATCAAAGCAGAAATTCCAAGCCTAACTTTTCTAAAACAAATTTCAGGAAAGCAATGATTTCCACGTGGGGAGAATCAAGTTCCGAAGAAGAGGAACAGGAACACACAGACGATGAAGTAGCCAATCTCTGTCTAATGGCAAAGCATGATGATGAGGTAGTCATTCAACCTAATTATTTGAAATCTCTCTCAAAGGATAAATTAATCTCTTTATTGTTAGAAACCTTAGATGAATATAAAGAATTATGTGCAAAACTAAGGCAAGCCGAAAAGGCAACTGGAATTTGTAGAGATCATGTTAAGTATCTGAATAGCTTAAGAAATGATGTTCAAGGCAGATTCTTTGAATTGTTAGATAAAAATATTATGCTAAAAGAATCCCTTGAAAGAGTCAAGAGTGAGAATATCATGCTGAATATTGAATTGACTCAATATAAAATGTTGTGTACTAACATTGATTCT